GTGCGGAAGCAAGAGCAAAGCAGGATCAGGGCTCCGGGCGATGCCTTCAACCCTGCCCGAAACCTCCGCAAGGCCCCAGCCCTTCGTGAGCACCCTGAGAGACCGCAGAGAGCTCGTACCTGTGTCATGCCGGTCCCTATCCGGGCGATAACGACCTCCTGGCTCTTCATCTGGTCGGTCACCTTGATCCCATGTCGCACCTGGATGTGCTTCTCCAGGATGAGGCGGCTGCTGAAGGGCCTTTTGCCCTCTGTGCAGTACCTGCAGGGCCGGGAGAAGGGGGGAAAAAAAACTCCGCCACGAGGAGCCCCCGGGAAAGCCTGGCTCCGGCATCCTGGCCCCCGACTCTAACCACAAACGTGCTCATCCACACTCCTCTAGCGGGTATAAAACCCCGGGGTCCTGCCCGGTACCTCCCTTCCCTCCTACTTCCCAGACACTTCTTCAATCCCCCTCATGCTTCAGCCGTCTGTAGCTTTATCCTGCCCACCACAGCCTGACGGGGGGAAAACTGCGTCACCCCTCTTCACCCAGACCCCCCTTCCTCAGCCAAACCCCGAAGGCGGCGCTGTGGGTACCGGCAGGGGTAGACGCGCTTGATCCCTTCGTGATTCACTCGCACGTGTCTCCGGAGGCTGGGAGCGGAGCAGAACGAACGCTCGCACAGGTGGCACGGGAACTTCTTCACCGACTGCAAGAAAGAGAGAGGCAGGGGGGGACCGCACCGGGGGGCGGGAGGGCGGGGGGGCGGGGGGCCGAGAGGCCGGAGAGCAGGGCTCCCCACTCGTGTGGAGAAGCCGGACATGGGAACTTGGCGCTGCCTCAGATTTCCTCTCCTTGCCCATCCCACAGCTGCACATTCGAGTAACGAGTATCTGGTTGTCGCCGTTCACCAGAACAGGTAACGTCCAGGCTCCCCAAAACCTCAACCCTGACCCAGTTCGTACTGGGGGGAGAAGTAATGTCTAGACGGCAGCAGAACATGCTCCCGGCCCAGCACGGAACCCGGGTGTCCTGCGCCGCTGCTCTGCGCCATGAGCATTCCCCGCCCACACTCCCAAGGGCTCGGCAGAGCTGGCACTGGAGCCCCCGGCTTTCTCCTCACCTTGCCGTGGTCCTTCTTCATGTGGGAGACGTATTCGTCGCGCTCCGGGAACCAGGAGTGGCAAACGCCGCACGTCCACCCGCTGCCCTTCGACTTGTTGACCGTCTTGCGCTGGAAGCGGCTTCGCTTGGTCTTGCGCAGCTCCGGGGAGCTGGGGGGCTCATCCTCCTCCGTAGAGGACGATGACTCCTCCGAGATCTTGGACACGGGGGTTTCGACAGGCTCCTGCTTCGGTGTGAGCAGGACGGCCGCCTTCTTTGCCAGGTCTTCCTTGGGCTTCTGGGGCTGATGAGTGTTCTGGAAAGCAAAGACCGGAGTGTTGGCAGCGGCGTGGGGCTGGGATTTTCCCCCCAGCACTGCAGCAGGCTACAAGGAAAGCCTGCCCACCCTCAGCCTGCACAAGGCAGGCTCATCTCCTCAGCCTTTGGGACAGGGCTGTGGGGGACAAGGGAACCAGACCTTGGGGCCCTGCTGCGTCGGTGATGAGCCGACAGCCCTAACCCAGCCTCAAATGCTCCTGGTGAAGGACAGATCTCAAATATTTCTATCAACGGGTTGCGCAAAGGGTGCCGAGCCCGGCCGCGGCACTACCTTGAGGTGCTCCAGCATGGTGCGCTTCTGGGCGAAGAGCAGCGGGCAGTCCGGGCACTTGAAGACACTGACCCGCTGGTTGAGCAGGTGCTGGTCGAAGTGGGAGGAGAGCAGGGGCTTGTGGGTGAAGACCGTGTCGCACATTGCGCACTTGTAAATCATTCTGTCGGAGGAAAAAACACCACCGTTGGCACAGCCCAGGTTGGGATCAAGAGACTCTCGGAAGAAACCTTTTGGCAAGGAGGCGGCGAGCAGCCCCGGGTGCAGTCTGACCCACGCCGAGGGACGGGAAAGGAAAAACGAGAAGGATGCAGCTCCCATTCTGGTGCTGAGCCCTTCCCGCAATGTCCCACCCACCGAATCATTTAGGTTGGAAAAGACCTTTAAGATCATCAAGTCCAACCGTTAACCCAGCACGGCCAAGTCCACCGCTGAACCATGTCCCTAAGCACTGCGTCCCCATGTCTTTTAAATCCCTCCAGGGATGAGGACTCCACCACTTCCCTGGGCAGCCTGCTCCAGTGCTTGACAACCCTTTAGGTGAAGAGATTTCTCCTAATATCCCATCTAAAGCTCCCCGGCACAACTTGAGGCCATTTCCTCTCGTCCTAGCGCTTGTTCAGAGCGATCTCTTCTGGCAAGGTCTGTCGGGACGTCAGCTCACAGGGAACACTTACTTGGACTGCTGATTGCTGAAGCCGGGGTGCTGCGTGTAGACGTGCGCGTGGGCGCTGGGGGCAGACTTGAACGCCATGGGGCAGATGGGGCACTTGTGGAACACCTCGCAGTGGGAGGTCTGGATGTGGGACTTGATGGAGTTGACCCCGCCAAAGACCACAGCGCAGCTGGGACACCTGGAGAGCGGAGGAGAGCGGGAGGCAAGGGGACAAACGGCACAGGGGAGCTCAGCCGTGGCACGGAGACTGGCGCCCACCAAGTGCTAACAGCAAAGAGAAAGCGGAGCCCGAGGGCCCGCACCCGCTGCCCGTCCAACCACGGGACTTGGGATGAGCCCCTGCTCCGACAGACACCAGGATCCAAACTGGTTCTGGGCGCTGGGAAAAGCCCAGTTTGGAGCCAGCAGTCCTGCCCTTTGCTGGCGGATCCAGGGCCCAGGCAGCTCGTGGGAAGGAGCAGGGAGAGACTGCGGGGGTCTGACGCTGCCAGCCATGACTGAGGTGAAACAGTAGCCAGGAGGTCCCAGGAGGAGGAAAATTCCCCCGGGGTTAAAGGGGTGAGAGCCAGAGAAGGGGTAAAGTGAGACCCTCACCCTCGGCCCTGCACCCAGCACTGGTGGGGAGAAGGAACGTGGATTCCTGCCCCATCTGCAAAGTGGAAACCCGCCGCAGACTTGGGACTCTGCCCTTCGGTCCTGGGCGTCCCCCCAGGTCCCTCTGCCCCGAGCTCAGGCCGCGGTGCCCTACCTGTACCCCACTCTGCGGGAGAAGTGCAGGCAGGCCTCCTTCAGGTGGGTCTCGAAGTTCGCCAGGAGGAAATTCCCTCCGCACTCGGGGCAGACATGGGGAGGCCGGTTTTTGTGCATCCGCTGGTGGGCGTTAAAACTGCAGCGATTGGACATGATCATGGGGCACGTCGTACAAACCTGGGGGGAGAAGAGCATCAGGAGGTTCAGCGTGGCGCGTACCCACATGTACAAAAGGGCTTGTAAGCCATTTCCACAGGCTAACAACCTGCAACACCCAGAGCAGCCCCAATCCACGTGCCGCCGGGGGAAGAGAAGCGCCGGGACTCTGCAGGGCACGTTGTAGGAGATAATCTCCTTGCGCCAGCTTGCTGGGTAATTGTTGAGGGCGTTTCGCGCACAGACAAGATGCCTTTTCCAGGCTTTCCGTCACAGATGGGTCCCAGATGCAGCGCGTGCCAAGGGTTAGCCGGGGACCAGCCGCTCGGCGAGGGAGTTTTACCGGGGGGAGCGGGGGCGTATTCAAACCAGCTGCCAAAACCGTTTTGAAACTACTTCCAGCTCCACGCCAGGATATGGACACGGGGATGTCGAGGGGAGAAGCTGACAAGGACTCGAGGGAATAGGAGAGGGCTTGGGGTAGGAGCTGCCCTGAAAGATGCGACTACCAGAGCCAAGGCAGGCGAGGAAGGAGTGGAGCAGCCCCCCGCCAGATGCCAGGCACAGCGAGCTGTCCTCAGGCTCCCCTCGCTGCCGGCACCCAGACTGGGGTCCAGAGCGCTGCCAAGAGGTGATTTTGGCAGCAGGGCAACAGGAGGGAGTGAGGGATCGGACAGGGAACAGCAGCTAAAGACAGCCCGGGAGATGAGCAGGGACAAGGGGCACATCAGGAAGGGAGAGGGGATGAAAGGTAGCAGGTGAGGAAGAGGATTGTGGAGGCTTCAGCCATCCCCATCCCTTGCTGGGCCGAGGAAAACCTCTGGGGTCCCTCTTTTTTTTTTTTAAATGAAAAAAAAAAAGCTGTTTATAGTAGTTCAGGGAGGAGTCTGTCTGCTGGGTACAGGGACAAAGTACTCTGGCTGGGTGAAGGCTGGTAACAGGTTCTGCCCTGCCAGCAACTTCACGCAGATGGGCTCTCTGAGCTAGAAATATTATGCTGCCGCATTCAGAGGCAGCGGGTGCCTGCGGGGAGATAAGGACTATTTCCCCCAGCATTCCTGTCCCTGATCTCCTCCTCTCTGTGCCCTCTCACTGCTGCTGCCGCAGCCCTGGCATGGACATCCCGTCCTCGCTGCGTTCCGAACCCTCCGTCGACACCAAGGCTAGGCGAGGGGATGGGAGTAAGAAATCCTCCCCTCTTAAAAGCAAGTTCCTCAGGACAACCCATATAAATACGTGAACCTGGACGCTCCTGGTGACCTTCACACAGAAAGCAGCCCTCCTCTGTAACAGCAGACCGTAATAGCTGCATTTCAACAGCGTCCTGGCTGCGGCAGCAGCTTCGAAGTAAACAGAGTTACCAGGAAACAGCAAATTCCTTCTATGCAAAGGAAGTTGAGGGGGCTGAACACATCTCTGGACAAAGGGAAAGGTGAAGACATGCCACAGGGAGGACAGGGCTCCTCCGTGGACCTGTTTTCCCTTTTTGCCTTTTAAAGGTCATCCCTCGGCAGCGTTAATCCTGTGTGTTTGCTGCATGCTGCCTGTCCTAACAAACCAGGACATGTTGGCAGCAGCAGGAAGCACCCGGGATCTCAAGGTTGGCTCTTGAAGAGGGGGGAAAAAAAAGACTGAAACACAACACACCCCGTCCTGGTTTCTCCAGACTCCACTTGTGCTTCAAGCCGGCGAAAGAGGAAGCAGCGCCCACGGCTCTAACATGGCTCCATGGGGACGGCTACGTCCCGC